TTTTTTTTTTTTTTTTTTTTTTTAATGCTGCTTAGCCTGTATCCTGTGCTTGGTTGGCTAGGCATGTAATTAAAATGATTGTGGAGTGAATCTGTGTGCTTCAACATCTGTGTTCTCTGCTGTCATCTTGGAACAGAGCTGCAGTGACTCTGCTGCCTCGTTTTGCCACGGTCTCTGGTTCTGAAAACACCATTTTGCTTTTCTGAATATACTTGCAGTGTCCTATATACACAGCCTGCTATCATGCACACAGGCTCGGAGGCTAAGGCATCTAAGCAGTTCTTGTTTATCCTAGAAGTAGAAGGTATTAGAAATGCTTTAGGCAGCAGTATGTTTTGGCTTTTTGTTCTAAACAGATGAACAGATCTGAGGGCTGAAGCTAGAGCAAAATGTGAGAGATGTATTTAAAGGGCCATGGGTAGATATAAAGAAGCATCTTTATACCAGTAAATCAAAGGGACTTTGGAGCTAACTTTGTATTTTGAGGCTTCAATTTGTTAATTTGTTTTAGTTCCCTTGGCTTAGCAGAGTTCAAGATGGCCACATGCAGATGTAACRCTGCACAGCAGCTGAACTGTGTTTCCATGACCTCAGAGGGTAGCTGCCTTTAAAACAAGGGATATGTGATCCTGGAGATCAGAAGTTAAGAGTTCATTGAAAGATCTTCTTGGGAGTGTGTTATCATGAAATAAGCAGTCGTTGACCTTTTGAATAGACAGCAGATGTACCAGTTTTCACTTAAATTGCTTAAAAGCATTCCTAGCAACAATCTGGGGTTGTGTTTGTTTGTCAGATAATTTTTCTATAATAATCATATTCCCACTTAGAGCCTTTTGCTGTTCTCCTCCTGTGTAGCTGCCTCCCCTCCCTTGATGATATTAAGGACTTCTTGCACAGCAGTCGATGGCCTTTTAAGTCCTAACATCAGCTCGCAAGAAAGCATCTTATCAAATCCAAACTCAAATGTCTGGATTACTCAGGTGTCTGTCATCAAGAGAGTGATTTAAGCAGCAGCAGCTTTGCTGGTTTTGTTGTTGGTGAGGGGTAGCAAGCAGGCTCCAGCAATGCAGCCTGTGCTGCCGGTGTCGTGGTTATATAACAGCGCTGCTGTAGCTCTGTAAGTTGATTCTGGAGTTCATAGCCACGTAGATTAATTCTAATGCAGTAAAACGGGGAAACTTAATCCAGGACTGGGAACTGTAATGCTRAATGTTCTCTTGTGCTTTAAATTATTGTGAAGGCCTTTTGGTTTGAATTCTAGATTTTTTTAAAATGAATTTGCACCTCTTGCTCTGTTTGCAGCCTATGCTGGCTTCCCTTATCTTTAGGAACCTTTTGTATTTAGCAGGTGAGATCATATACATCCTCAGAATTAGGAAGTCCATTTTTTGATTTTAATATCTGCTTATTTTGCTTTCCTTTTAGGTCTCACTGGCACAAATTGTGTGTATTTTTGTTTTCTATTCCATTAGTGATTGATTCTCTCATTCTCAAGTATGAACTGTTAAACTACACACTGTTTTGATTTCCTGAGGCTGAGGAGAGGTCATTGGGGGATGCTAGATGAAGTTTATGGGGACAGGTAAGAGCAGGGTATCCCTAGCTGTTGTAAGGAAGGATTACCTTTACTAAACTCTGTGACTTCAGTTCATCAGGTAGCTGGGCCGTTGTCATAAATAGCCATACAGCTGGGCTCAATGTCCATTCCCATTCTGACGTGTTAAGAGGAAGGAAGCAATGTATCCTTTCAGATTCTTCACTGCTTCTCTAGAAAATATTTCCCACCCTGTGACCAAGGGAAAGTATCACTTTTCTTATACAACTCTTCTTTTTAGTAAACTCTTAGTAAATACTCACCTGTTTCTAGTGTTTTGATGATGAGCTTTGAAATTGTGCATCAACTGAACATTGCACTTCACGCAGAAGTGGAATGCAGTGGCTTGGATTTGCATGTTGTCCTGTCACTTGTTGCAGTGCCACGTGCTGCTGCAGGTGAGGAGGCTGCTGCCTGAAGAGGCTTTGCACCTCTACCTAGCAAGGATTAGTGTAATGCCAAGCTGCTGTTCCCCTGAAGCAGCAGCCGAGTGATTGTATCCTGAAACCTCTCCGAAGCTGGGCAGATAAGCATGCACTGCCATTCTTTGAAGTCTAGGTCTTTGTTAAGTCTTCTGGGACCCTGGGTGATGGGCAATRTCTAGCAGGATGGAGATCCAATGGCTGCTTCTGCTGTTTTGTCCCATGCAGTCCCTTGGCCAGAGCAGCAGCAACGCCYGCTGTGCACTGGGTTGTCTCAAGGCGGCTGCAGCCATTGTGTACCAACCTAATGGGGCTTCCTCCTTTTGTCTGAGTGCATGAGAAATACTTATGGCAGTGTTGCTGCCAAGGGCTGACATCAGTGCAGCTGCAGGTTTTGGCTCCATATGTTCTTCACCTGAGTTGGGCTCTAAAACATTCTCTCTTGGTATTACTTTACTCTTTATCCTCTCCCCCAGCATATCTTGTTGCATTAGGTGAGAACACTGTGAGTGTGGAGGAGCAGAACAAATCCTTCCCCTCTGGAGTAGATTGTTTAAAAATGTATGCGTATCCTGATGTCCTTCAGACGCTCTGCTTCCACCACAATGAGCTGTGGACAGTAGTACAACCAGTTGTTTCCTTTTTCTGGGGGAATTGAGGTGAACCTCCATGTAGAATAAGCTGAGGTTGTGATCCTTCTTCTGCAAGGGTTTGGCRTGCTGGTGAGTCCTATCAGAGCTGCCTTGGTGTGCTGCTTGCAGGACTTGCTCCATAGTCCTCCCYACAGAGGATCTTATCAGACCGGTTCTTTTCCTAATCCTCCCATGAATCATTGGGGTTGAAAATATCTTGATATGAACAGCTTTGTTCTGGCTGTATTCTCATCTGAGTCATACTGCAGTGCTCTGCAAAGCCTTTTCATTGTGTAGTGAGTCACAAATTCTGGAGTGAAGGGAATGTAAAAATGGAGCAGAGCTCCTATTCCTTCTGACAGCATCTTGCTAATACCAGTCCTGGTCTCCGTGCCTTTTGCTGCTGATCAAATGATGATGATCTTCCCAGTACTGTCCACTTACTTTCCAATTCAGTTGATTGGCCCAGTGAGATGGTCTTGAGATTGCTGCTGTCACTAGTTCAATTTATTCAGCAATGTAAGTACTTCTACTTGTGACTTAGCTGCATGGCATTCAATTCACTTTCTTTCTCAGGGTAGAGTTGGTTAAGAGCCTTGAGGTAGTGTTGAGGTCATGTGCTGGAATGAAATGGAAAAGCTGAATAGCTTTGTAATACAGCACAACAACAGGTAATGGGATATCTGCTCCAGTCGGGGTGTCTGTGTACTGACAGAAAAGGAGACTACAACACTCCAGCTCTGGAGTCTGACTGTGGGCTGAGAAGTGTGCTGTGAACAGTGAAGAAGAAAAGAGTCTGTAAAAACTAAGCCATGGAGTACTTT